ACGTATATGGCGTCTCTACGTCACTCCTCCTCAGTCCAGATATGTTCACTTCCTGTTCACTGGTTGCAAGATAAACATAGCGACCAGCTAAACCGTTAACGTTAATGGACGGTTGCGTCTCCTCCTCCCCCTCTCAGGGCCACCCGGTGCTGTTGCCGGGTAAATGTTGGGCGTTCCATGGCGTCCAGGGCTCTCTGGTGATCTCTCTGTCTCACCCCATCACTCTCACTCATGTGACGCTGGATCACCTGCCTCGCTGCAACGCCCCCGCCGGACACATAGACTCCGCCCCCAGAGACTTTGAGGTCTACGTGAGTGTTCAGAACTTATGGATGGATGGATGGATGGATGGAGGGATAGATAGATATATGGATGGAGGGATACTTTATTAATCCTGCAAGGGGACGTTGTTTCTGCTTCAGCAGTATTTATATTTAAAGGTAAACGGGAACATTTTAAAGCAAAGCAATAAAATGAACAGAGTAAAAATATAAAATATAAAACTGCACAATATATATAATGAAATAGAATAATATTAAATTAACTAACTAAACAATAGTGCAAAGATTTAACCAAACAAACAAGTTATATTCATATTTCAAGTATTGAAGATATTCTTACAGACATTATTAGCAAACACAAACAAACCTAAACTACCTAGAGCCGTAGAGGAAAGATACAATGAGTAAGTTCAATGATATTTATTTGTTTTTTATTAGAAGACCGCAGCTTTAAAAGGAAATATTATCAGTCCCACTCTGACAGAGTTTGGGTGATTTTGGTATTCATGTCGTTTATTTAAAAACAGTTAAATCAAAAAATGTTCGCTCGTACTTTTGTAAAAAGAGTACATGACTTTACTGCTGGTACTCCTGTCTGTTTGCAGTAGTACACAGAAGTACAACCACACTTCTAAACATCACTGCTGTCCCTGTAGCGGAGCTGCATGTAACTGTGTTTATTACAGATACATCGTAGGAAGAGAAGGTTCAGAGACGGTGATGATCGTTGTGATAGTCTAAAGTGATAGAAGTCTGTTGGAACCTTGTAAAGTCACTCTGCCCTCCCAAAGCAGCCGAGCGGTTCTGCTGGAGAACCCGTCTTCACTCTGACACAGTTCTCATCGAGTCTTTTCTGTCGTCCAGGGAATGAAGGACGACATAGAAGAAGGAACTCTTCTGGGAACGTTCACCTACGATGAAGACGGAGAGTCAACGCAGACCTTCAGGCTGCCTGTGAGTTCATACCACGAGAACACAACCACTTCCTGTTGTGTGTAGAAACGACCAGCTCACAGCGAGCGCTCCGTATGTGCTGACTGTGAAAGTACCCTAACCTCTCTTTCATCTTCTGTCTGCTTTTATTTACTGGTTTATTTCATAAGGGACAGTGCACATTAATAACAGCTAGTGCTGTAAATGTGCCAAGAGGCAGATGTTACAAAGTAAACCTAAAAACAGAATATAAGAATAAAGTTACAACGTTCTCTTGGTCATCCTTCTTCTTCTTCTCTCTCTGTTTCCCGTGCAGAACCCCAGCGACGCGGTGCATCGCTGCGTGGAGCTGCGAGTCCTCTCTAACTGGGGTCACGTTGAGTACACGTGTCTCTACCGCTTCCGTGTGCACGGACAGATCGCCAGCACGCGCTGACCGAGCCTCTCGCTCCGCATGTCAGCAGAGTGCATTTCAACATGTACGAGTCACATTAAAGGTGGTGGTCTGAGGTGCGTTCAGGGGCCAAATGCTACTGCTGGTTTGCTGTGTTTTTGGATTGCTTCATGTTAAAGTGACAGGATGCTTTTTATTTTTTTACTGCACAATTTAAAAGCGACAGTTTGAAGTGAGGTTGAAACAGGTACTTATACACAGTCAGGGGTGCTTCAAAGACACCACGGTAGCTGCTGCTCTACCGCTGCCTCCAGCAGGTAGTCAGTGTTAAGTGACTTTGGTGTTTTAAATAGTTTGTTCAGATTCACTCAAATAACACAAACTAGCAAACAGGTCTTCAAACAATCCAAACTATGCTTTTAATATTTCACAACGTCTGATTATATTTGTGTTTTATTCTCGATAGTTCTGTTCGGTCTGTTGCTCGTTTCTCTTCATTTCAATCGACGAGTCACTCCGTGATTAAACATCAGGTAAAGTATATATAAATATACAATCATAACAGAAATCACTTCACTTTGAAGTGAAATGTTTCTAAAAACCAAAGAAATCTTAAAGTTGTGCCACAGAATCACTTTTTAAACCGTTGTTATTAATTGAACTATTGATCAGGTGAAATGTTTTAAATGAACCTCGAGGTTTATTACATGATATTAATGAAGTTTAATAATAGGCTTGTTTTTAACATTCTCTGTCCGTCTTATGTCCAATATTTAATATCTTTAGAATATAAAGATCTGTTCGGTTAAGTTCTCAAACACAAATATCAGTTCCAGATATTATTGAAACAGCATCACGAGACCGATATATTTGTAAAAACCTCTTTGAAGACGTCGCGTTGACTTCGTGACGCTCTTCTTCTCTTATGACTCGTACGAGACAGAAAAGTGTTATTTATTTGTAAGATGAGAATATTGAGGATTGTAGAAGAACCCGTTTGTTGCAGAACATCAGAGACTTGTTGTGAAGTTCACTGGAGGTGGACCAGGTCTAGTCCATCATCAAAGGACCAGCAGGAAACAGGATCAGCAATTATTTATTATAGATTTCTATTTTTTTTTATGATTGTTTTGCAGGTTAAATGAATTTTCTAATCTTTTGTATTCAAGCTGCTGATCGGAGTGAATTCGGTACAGATCTGGTGTTATGAATGCGTGATCTTGTGAAACCGTGGATTATGATTTGCTGCGCTTACCAAACCTTTTACGTCAAAGGTTGAATTAAAAATGATGTCAAATCTGTGTTATGATACACAGGACAATGTGTAAACAATGAACAAACAATCCAGATAGTTGTTGGTGTGAAGACGTTTACAAGCAACACAGATATGAACTACGTCCATCTTCTCCAGACACGTCTGATGATCTAAAATCACTTCAATAACATTTTGCTGACTGTCAGAATCTGCCCAAGGTGTTCTCCAGAGTACTTGATGCCCATCTGTAAGCCAAAGTGGGATGTTTGTCTGATTTAATAAATATGAGATAAAAATACACTTTTGTTGTTCCATTTATTGTTGTTTGAAGTCTTATTTCCTAATGTTGCTTGTAGACTTCTATGGAGAAAACCTGCTCATTACAGAGAATAACAAATAACCTTTATCAACAATGAACTCCAGTAGTTTCTAGAGCTGTGTTCAGCTTCCTGATCTCTATTACAGTTACTAGTTAGCTCATCAGCGTCGATCACCACACTTACTTTGACTCTATTCAAGGAGTTTCATGTTTGCATACAAGCATTTCAAGTTAAACAATAACTGCGTTTGTTCCTCTTTTAAAGGAGCAGTGTGTAGCATTTAGTGACATCTAGTGGTGAGGTTGCAGATTGCATCCAGCTGAACACCCGTCGTCCTCTCACTCCCTCTGTCCTGTTAAACTACACTTTGTGTTTAGCTTTAGATCCTTTGTTGTTCTCTTTAGTTTTTATACGTGTAGTAATAATTTTAATGTAGATGTGCCTGTACTGTAACCACTTTACTCTATTTGGGGGCAAAAATACTCGACAACACTCTTTCTGGAAAACCATATATGCGTAATAATTGGCGTGATGCAATTAAATTCTTTTTTTTCCTAACAAAACAGTTGTCATACATGTGGTTTCTGTGAATGAAGTCACTAGCGTATAGTTTTAAATTGTAAGCTCAGTAACAGATATTTCACTGTTAGATCACAGTGTTGTTCAGCAGGAGACCCAGGAGTGTGAGGACGAACACCTGACAGACACCAGGCTCTTCATGGAGATTCATTCCCTACATTTGAATACCCACAGTCAAAGCTGACAGAGGACACATCACCTCTAAGGTATTTGTGGATTGATGGATGTAAATGCAGTGTTGTGGGTTTGATGTTGCATTTGGCGATGCCTCCCTAGTGTCACCAAAATGTGACTTCTTCTGGACTCATTGTGCGTCGTAGGCCACATCCACACTAATGCGTTTCTGTTTGAATCCAGGGTTTTAAAATGAAAACGATCCATCTGTGTGTGTGTGTGTGTGTGTGTGTGTGTGTGTGTGTGTGTGTGTGTTAATCTGTGGTGTTGGGAATCTAGTGCAACCACATCCGGGATATCCTGAGCCGTAATCACTAGTATTAGTGAAACTCCAAAAATACTGAATCCTACATTTCCCATACTTGTGTCCCATCTGAGATGACGGTGCTTTAGACTCCACCACTGTCTTCACAGGCAGAGTATCGCTGCTCGTGGTGAGGAGACAGTGTTGGTTATGAAACCAGCAGTATTGATGTAAGTGGGTTCTCACCACTTAACACAGTCCGGACACATTAGTAACTCCTTGCATTAGATTTCTCATCTATGCTTACGTTGCATCACCTGTTTACTGAACAGTCTGCAGTTGCATCAGTGAGAGCGAATGTTCAGCTGCAGTGCTGCTGAAGATAGTAATTACACAAAGCAACAGACTTGGGATCAGATTGCTCTTTTAACATGAAACCTGAATGAGAACAATAAAAACGCATCCACAGGCCAGCGGCTACGACTGATGTCTTTATAATGCAACAACTGAAAATTAGCTTATTTGAACTCAAATTCACAAGAGGCAATTTAAAGGATGGTACAGACAGCACTACATTCTCCAGGCAGGTTGCTCTACACCCAGGTTGCCCTGAAGGCAAAGACAGAGTCCCTCTTCACACATGAACAACTCAAAGTACAGAGAGTAAGACAAGGAGGCCATTAATATTTGCCCCTGCAGCATGTATAACTCTACATGGACATAATGCCTCCCCGGTCTAACGCAACCTAAACACGCCTCTGTGTCTGTCGAATCCGAACCGTCCAATCACTGAAGATGTCTCAGCAATGCTATTTTTGCATTATTGTCCAATCACGGCGTTGGCCGCAGAGATCGTCCCTCAGATTTGTCCCAATCCAACGATGCCATTGGTCCCCGTGGAGCGTGTTTAAAAGGCCCCTGGCCCCGCTGAGCTGGTGCTACATGCAGAAAAAAGTTTTGCAGCAAGTGAAGAAGACGGGGACTGCAGGACACCGTCAACTCTTTTGAGGTAAGATTGGTTGACTTCTTTTTAAATGTAGAAAAATGAAATATGGATAATCAAAACTAACCTTCTAATTGCCTTTTCCCTTTCTTTCCATCAGCACTTCTTCTTCCACCAACATGTTCAACACAACTCTGAGCCCCTCCACCAACCTCTACGTGAACTCTACCTCCCCTAGTGGCCCCCGTGGGATCCCACCGTGGTACCAGTTCCACGTGTGCGGTGCGTCCCCCTGGGCCTTCATCTTCTACTTTGGGGTCAAGGTGTTCAACCTGGCAGTGGGGACGCCCTGTAACGCCCTGGTCATTTGGCAGATCGCCTCCAGGAAAAGGGAAGCGTCCACCTCGGACATCTTCATCTTCAACCTGGCCATCTTGGACATCTACTTCTGCCTCATGACGCCCGTAGAGATGGTCAACCGGCTGCTGCTGGACGACAGCCGCATCTGGTATTTTCAGAGGTTCTCGTATGGCGTCAAGGACCTGACGCCACTCTTTCTGGTGAGTTTTTGGTCTTCTATGAACCTTCAACTTATTAGAAATGACCGTAAAAACAGCCTTTTCCTAATCTGTTGCCGCTCTAATACATAAATGACTTCAGATGGTTGTTATTTAATTACATACTGTGACCCGCTGCAACCACCATCTGACCACCTCGTCACTTCAGTTACATTTTGTAATGTACTGCTGTTGTATTTCAGACATAAACCTCATAAAAGCATTTTGACAGATACGTTATTCACTTTACTAATACTATACTAAACTCGGATCAACTGAGCTGCCCATGAGGTTTGAAGTGTCAGTAACTCTTCCATGTGTTATTCAGGGGACTCAGAAGTACAACTTTCCAGCTCATGTGTGTTATCTGCATCCCTGTTGAGTGCAGAACTCTTTCTCCTTTTCCAAAACCTGCTCCAGTTTTTCATCAATTAAGTCCATTTTGATTCAGCTACTACTAAAGTGCACGCTGTAACAGGCTTCTTCCTTCACGGATCTGCTGTCCCAGGTGTGTATCTGCCTTGACCGCTACACGGCCGTGGTCCACCCGGTTCTGTTCGCCGGTATCCGAGACAATAAGATCCGCATCGGCATTTCCGCGGTGGTCTGGGCCCTCACCCTGGCTTTCGGCCTCACCTCGTCCATCCTGGGAGTCGGGAGCACCAACGAGGTCTTCGGTGGCGTCATCCTGTTCGCCTTCGCGGTCATGGTCTTCTGCAACATCTCCGTCGTCTGGGTCCTCAGACGCTCGGTGGCGGGAAAAGAGCAGATGCATCCGGTGAAGAAGAAGGCCCTCCGGATGGTGCTGATCATCCTGGCCATCGTCGTGTCCAACTACCTGCCCGTGGCCCTCATGCCCTTCGTGTCGTACTACACGTTCGTGGTGTTCCACTGCCAGATCAGCGTCAGCGTGTTCTCCATCATGGACTTGAGCAGCAGCATCGAGCCGCTCGTCTACATCACCAAGATGGACCGCGTAGACGGAAGATGCTGCGGCCGGTGTTTCTCTGATAAAACGCATGATGTCCAGGTGTGATCGAGCCTTCCGACCGTAAAGTAACCGCACCGTGGATACCTGGACCAATGTGCCCCAGAAAACTGACTTTTTAAATGTTTTATCCACAAATGTATAATTTCTGTGAAAGCAGCACCATCTAAACCAAGCTAGACAGCTATCAGGTGAAAGCTAGCTGGTGACTAAACTCAGTTTAAGATCAGTTTATTCCAAATTAAACTAAATGTGGCAGCGGCTATATCTAGTCATGACAGAGAAATAATCCAGCTAATCTCCTGCTAAAGCTAACTAGTTTAGCAGAGTAGCATTATCTGCCGAGTCAGCCTTTGCCTCTAATGGGATTCATTGGATTTCATGTCGTTAAGCAACTTTTATATTACACATGACATTTAAACGTGTCAAATTGTGAATTAATTTGTATTTATAATTCATATACCTAGACTGTAATCAGCCTGAATATTTTTCATTGTTATTAAAATTAAGATATTTGCTACAACTGTTCAATATTTAAATATTTCACTATTTAACGACCAACCTTAAAACTAAACTGCAGTCAAAAACAAGTTAGCTTTAAGGATCACCTCTTTGTCTCCTCCTCTCATGAGATACACTTTTAGCTTTCACCTGCAGCCAGCAGAGGCATTGTGGGAGATGTAGTCGCTGCAATAGAAGTAGATGAGGTCGCTGTTTACTGAAGAGTTGAGGTCATTAATTAAGACTCATAGTCAGTGATGCACTGTGAGACCAATCAGCAGCAGTGTAATATGTAAGTGTTTGAGTCAACACGCAACACCTTGTAATTAGGAAAAGGAACACATGTGCAGTGTAACGACGTGATAAATTACACGATTACTTTGCTAATAAAAAAATTTTTTGTTTGAAAGAAAGTTAAAAACTCACCGATGTAATTTTAACTCTTTAAAAACATTTGAATGGGTTGTGCTAACTGTCAAACAGTACGATGTCTGTGGTTGAACCTTCTCTTTCTTCAGGATGGATATTTTGCATTTAAAATAATTACATTTAGAATGAATGAAAATGATGAATGACCTCAGACATAGAACTCTTTATTTTGATTAAAACTTAATAAACCAGATGTTTCCTGAAGTGTTTCTTTGTTATCTTACAGAATGTTTTAAAGAGTCTTGATTTTCATATTTTGGTTGTAAAAACTGATTATTTTCGTTTCACTATACCAGGGGTCACTAATAGGTGGACCGCGGTCCGGATCTGGACCCAGACGCTGTTCTATCCGGACCCAGACGTATAGCTGATGGATAATTGAGAATTATACATTTTGGCGGAGCGCTTCTATTTTAACCTGCGCAGCTTTTCTAACATTTACGGCAGCAGTCCAGGAAACACAACGCAAGTTTTTAAAAAGTTATTTTTTGTGTTTTTTATTTTTAGATGGAGCCCTTATTTTACTTGAAACACGAGGTAGCCATCAGAGGCTTGGTTGGGGTAATAAGAGTTCAAGGTGAAAGATATGGAAGAAATTATGACATGTTTTGTGTTTTGCTTGGTGTAGATTCTTTAGTTTTTTACCTAGCTTTGTTTTTTTAACACTCAATGGCTGAAGGAGGAGAAACGTGAGTTCGTGAGTTTCTAGCAACGCCTTTCTGGAGGACATTTAACATTAAACTCTTAGTCAACAAAGAAAGGAGGATGGAGTTTGTCTTTAAGTCAACAGCGTTTGTTATTTTACATCTAATATGTGAACGGCCCTCCAGTGTGCAGCAGAATGCGTGTTGCTGCAGGTCTGCTGGATTGATTTGTTGCTCTGTTGTCATATGAATATATGTGACTGGTTCTTGTCAGTTTGTTGTTGTCATTGTGTTCATGATATTGATTTGGACTATATGCATTGTCCGTTAATGACGAAGCATCCCGTCATGCGCGGAGTTATTGTCCGGACAATTGAATCTGTTTGGGCTGTTTTCTTTAACAAAGTCAGAATGATGGTCTGGAGAGATGTGGATTGAGTGGCGATTGCTTTAGTCTGTTTGAATCAGTAGAGAACAGATAAACGCTGCAGGGAGAGTTCGTAGCTTGTGTGCTGCTGTTGTTTTCCTGCTAAGCTAGTTTAGCGTAGCCTCCAAGAACACACGTGCGGGGCCTCAGCTGTGTTTTTTTCTGTTTGTTTTTTGTTCTGGGTTCAGAGGTCACACAGCCCGTTGTCTCCTACGTGAGCGCAGAAAACATTATATTTCCCACAATTTAAGCTTCTGCATTTTCAACTGTAGTAGGACGGCAATGAAGGCCCGGGTATAAAATGCACGGCCTGCCACAGATATATATATATATATATATATATATATATATATTGGTGCTGGGCAACGATTAAAATATTTAATCGCGATTAATCGCATGGATTTTTTGCGATTAATCGCGATTAATCGTATTGTTATGGCAAAGTTCAATAATGAATTCAAAAGTAGTGTATTGCGCACTTTTATTATAAAGTCCTGCTATATGAACAAAAGGTGAATAACATTTGGTTTGTAAACACTTTAAACACATCAGGTTGTTGTTAGCAGCAGTATTCTCTTTACACAGCAGCAGTTCTATCTATTCACTATCTGTGCTCAGTGTGTGACTGTGTGTGAAATGTTCCACTGCTGTGCAATGTGAATGCAGCTCTACTGTTCATCACTATAATGCTGTAACTCAGAGGTGATGATGGTGACCCAGCGATCAAAGAATAAAGACACTTTACGCACAATTTAGGTGTATTTTCCTTTTAACTCACGAGATGCAGCATGTTTTGTACTTAATGTGAATATAATTCATACTTTGTTGGCATCTTATTCTGAAAACCGGATGTTCGTCTGAAGAAACCGGATGTTGTCTCACGTTAACTTTCAAAGTCCTTCGCTCGCTCCCGATCTCTGCCGTTTAAATGTGTTTACCGTGAATGTCAGCATATAGGTGCACTAACATGTACGTAAGTGTCTGCTGAGTTGACCGCAGCGATGTCCAGTAGTCTCCATTCCTCCACCGCTGCCAGTGAGCAACGGACTTTCAAAATAAAAAAAAATTCAAAAATGCCTTAACGCGCTATAAAATAATTGTCGCCATTAATTAATGAATGCGTTAACGCGATAATAACGCATTATTATATATATATATATATCTCAAACGAGCCAACAGTGTAAAATAAACCTGAACACAAAGAACTGGTGAGGCGTCTGAGGTCCACGTCAGCAGCACGGTCCTCTGAATTATCAGAGATGATGTGCTGAGGTGATGGCGCCCTCCAGATGACACACTGCCAACTGCTACAGAGCTCAACCATCCATGCATTTCTATTGGTGGTGACGTTTAGAAGGAGGGGCCAACACAATCACCTGGTTTAAGAGTTGTGTTGAGAAGTGAGGAAGTGATGACGTAACCAATAAGATGGAAGAAGAAGAAGAAGAAGAGGAAGAAGTGAAGAAGGAAGTTGGGTCACAGCTACATGTTCACTCAAACACTTTCTAACGCTCCATTTTGTCTCTCCAGCTGTGAGTGTGTAGAAGTCGAGGCTGTTGGGTTTTAACGCTCTTCTATTGTTCTTTACTATTGTTTTGATGAGCTGATGAATTAAACTCTGTGATTAGAAGCTGAAGACTACAACGGCCATGTTGTTCCTGGACTTCATCCTTTATATCTCAGGTATGAATGACTATGAATATTAATAACTATTGACAGTAAATGTGGAAGAACAGAGGATGTAACATATCATGGCTCTGCTGAAGGATCAGAGTCAGGTTGTAAACAAATATTGAAAGATGGAACATTTAAAAGAGTGCAGATTACATCACATGTGAGCTCTGAAGATGATCACTTCACCTGATGCTTCCACTCTTTCTTTCTTTCTTCTCTTCTCTATTGTGTGCAGAACAACAATAGAGTTCTGAATGGTTCTTCTGGTTCTGAGTCCACTGAACAGACTCTCAGAGTGTATTCCTCGCTATCACAACCTTGTGTTGTGTTCACTGTGTTTGATTTCTCAGGTTGGTGTGAAGTGTAACAAACTTCATGGACACACTTCCTCAACAACTACAGACTGAATCAATATGATCTAATGGGTAATAATCTACTCCAATAACCAGCTGCATATGCCCACTATAAAAGTAGCGTCAGCATAGCTGACCAATCAGGAAGTGCAGAGCGGAGAACATGCAGACCACACAGTGGGCTTAGGAGTGACAGGACCCTCTGGTGGTGAAGGGTCTTTAAGTGATCAGTCACATGACTCATAAATAGTTCACTGATTAAAACACTATTTCCATGTCTGAGGATTTTACAAAGAAGGTCAATTCATTTCTAGAAGCTTTAGAAACAGGAAGTGTTAAACATCTACATGTGAGTAAATATTTATCAGCTAAATCAAATAGTTTACAGGATGTTCAACCTTTGTTTCTTTATTATACATTTAATAGTTGTTTCTTTACAGGGTTTGTATAAAGGTGATGAAGTAGTTTATGAGATATGAGTTTACAGATAATTACAATCCTTCTTCAGTAGAGGAACCGTCTAATTACTGGATCCACACGGTAAGAGCTTCACCAGAACACAGATCTCTCTCACCGCCTGCTTTTACCTGTTTGCTCATTCTAATGATGGTTTATTCCATGTATTCATAATCAGCTGCTGTGTTCTGTGTTTCCTTTAATCCTGATCACAACCATATTCAACTTGTTGGTTTTCCTCTGGTGTTTTTAACATTGCAGATTGATATTTTCAAAGAGCCTGCTGACACAGCGAGGCAGTGTTCTCCAGTGATGAGCGTGTTGGTTTGGTTCTGTCTGGTGTGTTTGTAGTAAAAACAGGAGGTAGAGATACAGAGAGGAGACATGAGGGCAGAGAGCGCTGCAACACTTTTATACTTCTGTGAAAAGTCATTTAATGTGCTGCATTGTTCAAAATAATGTTGTGTTGTAACAATAGTTCAGGTCCAACATGGCGTCTCTCTTCATTCTAAGCACTGGCAGTTCAACAAACATGAATCTTTGACATCGTTATCTGCAACAAGACTTCCTCCACGTGTGACGGTGCTTTTATTGAACCCATTACAGGCTGATCTCCTCTCAGTGATCAGAGATGGAGGTTCCACGTCTGATCCTAGACTCTCTGGATCAGCTGGGTGCCGATGACTTCAAGAGGTTTTGGTGGAACCTCACTCAGCCGGTGCTGGACGGGTGTCGGCCCATTCCTAAGAGCTGTCTGGAGAACAAGGACCGGCCGGACACCGTCAGCAGGATGATCGACAGCTACGGCGAAGAGTCGGCTGTGAACGTGACGGTTGAAATCCTGAAGAGGATGAACCTCAACAACGAGGCGGAGAAGTTACAGAATGCACGCCCAGGTGAGGGATCAGAGTCCTGTTAGAAAGAACTCTGATGTACTTCAGGAAATAAACCTGTTTGTTTGTGTCTTTCATCAACAGCTGCACAACCCCACCCTCCGACACCCCCCTCCTCCTCCTCTGGTTTCGTGTTAAATGCGCCGGAGAGGAGGAGTGGCTTATCTCCATGGAAACCGTTATCAACTAAGCCATTTATTAATAATAAATAACCTCTATATCTAATAATCTAATAACCTCTAATAATTAAATAACCTCTATTTCTGGAATGTTGAATGTTTCGTTTCAATTTCAAGTAGTTCCAACCCTTTTCTGAGAAGTTATGACATTTTGAAGGAGGGACATTTGATCATCATTTTCCATTCATTTTATTCTATCAAAATTCCGTATTCAAATGTAGGCCGAGTCTCCCCCTCTTGCGCAGGCATGCTAAGTGCTAGAGAGTGCGTTCCAACATGAATGTGCCACATTTGGGCTTGGCTACAACATATGAAAAAAGCAGTGGTCTGACAAGTTTAGAAATAAAAGTTGATCCAATCTGACCAACTTCTTCACAGGGTGTACAACAGGGGTCTCAAACTCGAGGCCCGCCATGTCATTTTATCTGGCCCGCGAATCCGCCAGCAAAAACAAAAAAAACAGTTTTAAAAAATGAAAAAAAAAATGTAAAAGTTAGACTTGATAACAAAAATATCCCCGTAGTCATAATTCTGAGATAGAAAGTCAAAATTATGAGATACTTAAACAGCAGTCACAGAAGCAGCTCTTTGGCTGGTTACTGTACATTTGACATGAAATGTATTGTGAGTACATTGAAGACTTTAAACGTGGCTTTAAAACACATGAAATACTTCACGTGGGATTGTGCAAACGCACCCTTGAAAGGATTTTAAGCATTGAACAAAGTTATTGTAATAACTTGTGTTTGATATTTGTCTTTGTTATTTTCTTTAATAGTTTGATCTTTGATAGAGTAATGTGGGTTTATTAACCCTAAATTAAAAGGATTTAAGTTATAATAACAGAATGTGCTTAAATATATTTTTACATTTATATAACTGCATGTTCAATATTTTCACATTTGAACAATAATCAAATGCAGAGACAGTTATTTACCAATATGTTAGGAGAAGTTTTGGGGACCTTAACTTGCAGCTACGACCACCATTTTTAGGTATTTAATATTCACAAGCCCCTCTTTGAAGAGGAAAGGATTCCAAATCTGTACTTTGATTTAAAGTATAAAAAAGAAGAGAAAAGACTGGTATGAAAATGGGCCTATTGTCTTTTGGGAAAAGTTATGCCATTTGGGTTGGGATTATTGGCCTACCTGAGAGCCCAAGGAAATGTAGTTGAAATGGAAAATTAGGGAACGGCATTTTCAAAAAAAGCAGTTTTCAGTCTTTAGAGTCAAGAGGGTTTTTGTTGGGTCCTATAAAAACACTAATAAATGACTTGTTATTAGTGCTGGTCAACGATTAAAATATTTAATCGCGATTAATCGCATGGATTTTTTGCGATTAATCGCATTGTTATGGCAAAGTTCAATAATGAATTCAAAAGTAGTGTATTGCGCACTTATATTTTAAAAGTACTGCTATATGAAGAAAAGTGCAATAACATTTGGTTCACGAGATGCAGGTAGCACGTTTTATACTTCATGTGAAAATAATTCATACTTTGTTGGCATCTTATTCTGAAAACCGGATGTTCATCTGAAGAAACCGGATGTTGTCTCACGTTAATCTTTCCGCTAACTTTTCTCTGTTTATTTCAGTCCCCCCCTCGACCAGAAGCGGAAGTCGCATTTTCTCTATGGCAACACTGAAGGGACATCATATCTCCAATACAAAACGATAAACATGAGTCTGTTAAAATAATAATAAATTTAAAAAATGTGTTAACGCGCGATAAAATAATTGTCGGCGTTAATTAATTAATGCGTTAACCCGATAATAACGCGTTAACTTGCCCAGCACTACTTGTTATAAAATTGACATATGGTGGACACAAGAGGACACTACTAGGATTAATTGGTTTGATATCATTAGCATGCTGCTAAAAAAAGACAGCTTTCCAGAGGGCTGAGAGACGGGGTCCTTTGTGAGCAAGCTCAGGACCTCAGATAGGATGTTGGGTGCAATTTCCAGACTGTTTGAGCTATTTGATGAGTTATTTTGCATGTTGTAGAAATGGAGGACAATTGGGTCAATGTCGGCTGATCGGGGTGGGATTATTGGCTGACATGGTCAGCCTATACATATGTATTTGAAAAGACACTTTTTGAGTTATAAGGGAACTGCCATTTCCTGGACAAAAACTCTCTTGAAATGGCAGTTATAAGGGAACTGCCATTTCCCAGACAAAAAGGTCCTCGAAATGGCAGTTTTTGAGTTATAAGGGAACTTAGTTTCCTTATAACTCAAAAAGTGTCATGTCGACTACATTTGATTGGGCTCTCATGTAGGCCAATTATCCCAACCGAAATGGCACATTTGTTCTCATGTCTCCCAAACAATATATCTAGTATGCTCTATAGGTGAATTCTTCCAACACTAAATTCTCTTTTTAGAAGATGAGAAAAATATAATATTGTGGCCTTTTGACTTCATCCTGAATGGACTGAATTGAAAGCTGTAGGGCATTTCGGTGAAAATAAATTTTGTTATGAAATTTATTTTTTAATCCAGCTATTATTTTACTTGAAATGAGAAGAACATTTATTCATGTATTTCTATGGATTATTTATAATCCATCCAGTTACATTTGAAAAATTTGAATAATATTTGTTAAAATATAATTGATGTGTACATTCTTTATTTGATTTGGCAGTTGTTTACTACACAGATACGTTACTACTACTAGACTTCTTGAATATAGATATACCCAAATTATATATATATATATAATTTGGGTCGTGGGTCGCGGCTTGTCATTAAGGGGTGATGGTGGGTCCCGCAGCCAGACCAGTTGAGAACCACTGCTCTAGAGTAGGAGGTTGAAACTTATGAGGGGGCATACCTGGGAACAGCCCACCAAGTGAGCAAAGTTTCAAGCGAATCGGATGACTTTTAATTTTGAGGCATATTAATGCCTTTGACTTATTTGCCTGATAATTCAAATAAATGCACTTTCTCCAATCATTTTAATTTTCTTACCAGTGGATCAAGACTTTGAGAAGGTAGTGTAGTCCAAATTTCAGCTTCCTAGCTCATTGTTATGTGGAGATTTCTAGGCGGAATATATGCAAAATTTACTAAATTACTATGAAGAAATTGTAAGGAATATCCCATTGTTATTCACATCATTGAATCTATGAGTAAACGGGGAATTACAGTCCACATTTCAGCTTCCTAGCCCATTGTTTTCTAGGGATTTCTAGGCCAACTAAAGGCAAAATGCCATAAATTACTATGCAAAAAGTGTAAGGATTTTCCCATTGATATTCACACCTTTGAATCTATGAGGAAAGGGGGAATTACAGTCCAGATTTCAGCTTCCTAGCCCAAAGTGTTGTGGAGATATTCTAGGTCAAATGTCAGTTTCCTTATAACTCAAAAACTGCCATTTCAACTACATGTGTTGTAAATTTGTCTGGGGAAAGGCAGTCTCCTTATAACTCAAAAAGTGTAATTTCAACTACATGTCTATGGGCTGACCATGTATGCCAATTATCCCAACCAATATGACATAAAAGATCCCCATCTCTCCCAAACAATATCTACAGTATGCTCTGGGCTACGAGGCTGAAACGTATGAGGGGGCATTCCAGGGAACAGCCCTCAAAGTGTACCAAGTTTCAAGCAAATCGGATGAGTTTGATTTTTGAGCAAAATCGATGCCTTGTGCTACTTTGCCTGAGATTTCAAAAAGTTGCAATTTCTCCGAACCTTTTAATTTTCATACCAATGGATCTATCCTTTGAGAAGATAGTACAGTCCACATTTCAGGGTTTCCACAGAGGGTTGTGGAGATTTTCTAGGGTCAAACTTCAGCTTCTTTCCAACTCAAAAAGTGACCAAAATTTTCCCAAACCACCTATTTTGTATAATTAAGAGTTAGTCTAAGATTTGTCATTTTCAAAGCTGGTAATTGAACGGTTGAGAAGATATTGCAGTTCAAAACATCAATCCACCATCCCGAAAAGCTGGCCGAAATGTTCCCATTCGTCCCGGACGATTGGGGGAAAAGTACCATTTGGTGGGCGAAGTGGGCAAAAAACGGGACAGCTTTTTTGAATTTCTCAAATGTCCATTTTTGTTCCAAATGGCAGTTTGTGTCCCAAACGTCCATGGGGTTTTGCCCCCTGGTGGACAAAAGCGCAAAAGGGCCAATTGGCAGAACTCTTGCCAAACTTTGGAAAATCATAACTTGGTGACCGACAGTCCGAACGGAGCGCAGCTTTCCCGCGTAGAACTTTGGCAAATGTGATATGTTCTCTAGCGGTCTCCCGATTTTTAGTGGCGCTCCTTGTGCCCAGTAGGATTAGTTGACAATTGACTTTTTGATCCTTACGGCCCAATGATAATGTAGTCGATAACGCCCCAGGTGTGTTAAGGGTGGTATATACACACATTCATACACATAGTTTGGTCCGGTCTCTATGCATTTATCTGCCGCTGTGTTGCGAAAGCCTATCAGCTTTATGACAACGCATTATTTGCGTTTGGATGGACCCCATTTTAGAACCATGTGTAATAAATGAATGAAAGAATAATTGTATCTAGAAATGAAGAATAGTTTGTGGAGCTACAGCTGTGTTGACAATGTCCCACAGCGATTACACTCCAACTAATCGTCTATCCCAGACACAATGATGTAACCTACAGTACATAACACAGAAACATGTTTTACACCTGAAAAATGAATAAAAACTAATTACCAATCATGGGTTAACTTGAAGATAAGAAATAGGTAACAAGTCAAAGTGATGAAATAACACATACTGTAACTTCTCTCACACAGAGGATGCTGATGTTGGAGAGACTTCAGAGAACAGAGGAACATCCTCCTGTCAGAGCAAAGGTAAAGCTGCTGTATTCTCTGGTTAGTATGGAAGCCCTGAGACAAGAAAGTGTTGACAAGAAATGTTTTCATAAATACCCTCTGTGAGAGACATCATGACTCCAAAGAAGCATTAAATTCATTTCACTAAAAGAAAAGGCCAAACAAGCTATTTAAAATGTACAAGTTTAATTTTGTGGCGTTTGAGTGAACATCATCAGACCTGCAGCAAACACTTTCACTTCTGCAGCTACAGCAGGAAGTTCAGTCCTAACTTCTGACGTACACATAGACACACATGTACTGGTTGAAGTGGTTTTGATCCTGAGGCCCCCCCCCCCCCCCCCCTCTTTGGAAACACTATTATATGTTCATTTCAATATGCTTCCTTGTCTCAACTCTGGGTTTTCAGGGATTAAGTCCACCAATAAACTCGGTCAGATTTCTCGATCTGCTCCATCCAAAGTGAGATGAATGTCTTCTCTTCTAATCAGACCAGACAAAAGGCAAGGACACGTTTTATGTTAATCTGAGGAAGACAGTCCTTTAGCAAAAGACCATTTGTGTTCTGCTCCTCCAACTGTAGACAAACAATCTAATAATAGTTATATTTTTCATGTTTGTGTTCAATACAGACGAGATGGTTCTGGGAGTACACATCTCATCTCACCAACAAACGCTTCAATCACACTTTCAGGATACGTTCATGTGTGTACAACAGGCGTGGTTGGAGAAGAAGGATGAGAAACCTCTGGATGAGATCTACACAGATCTGTACATCACAGCAGGGGCTGACATACACATCAACACTCAGCATGAGGTCAGGCAGATTGAGATGAAGAGGGCGACACTAGCAGATGAAGAGAGACCAATTCAACCCAGCGACATATTCAAACCCCCGTCTGGAGGAGACAGACCCATAAGAACAGTACTGACCAATGGAATCGCAGGAATTGGAAAAACATTTCTTGTGCGCAAGTTTGTGTTGGACTGGGCTGAAAAAAAACACAATCAAGATGTGCATCTCATTTTCCCCTTCACCTTCCGTGAGCTGAATTTGAAGGAAGAAAAGTTTTGTTTGTCAGAGCTCATTCATGAATGTATCGATGAGACCAAAGACATCAAGACAGAAGCTCTTAATCACATCTTCACAACTCTGCAGTCATCAGCAAACACCAACTACAACAAGAGTAAATTCAAACTTCTGTTTGTTTTGGATGGACTGGATGAGAGCCGCCTTCATCTGGACTTCAACAACAAAAAGATCCTGACTGATGTGACAGAGTCCACCTCAGTGGATGTGCTGCTGACGAGCCTCATCAGGGGGAAACTGCTTCCCTCTGCTCGCCTCTGGATAACCACACGACCTGCAGCAGCCAATCAGATCCATCGTGATTTTGTTGGCATGGTGACAGAGGTCAGAGGGTTCACTGACTCACAGAAGGAGGAGTACTTCAGGAAGAGGTTCAGTGATGAGGAGCAGGCCAGCAGGATCATCTCCCACATCAAGACCTCACGAAGCCTCCACATCATGTGCCACATCCCAGTCTTCTGCTGGATCACTGCTACAGTTCTGGAGGATGTGATGAAGACCAGAGAGGAAGGAGAGCTGCCCAAGACCCTGACTGAGATGTATGTAGAATTCTTGGTGTTTCACACTTATCAGACAGAAGAGAAGTATGACCAAAAAAAGTTCAATCAGTACATTACGTCATTAGCAAAACTGTCTTTTCACCAGCTGGAAGAGGGCAATCTGATCTTCTATGAGAAAGATCTCAAAGAGAGTGGCATTGATGTCAGTGAAGCCTCAAAGTGCTCAGGAGTGTTCACAGAGATCTTCAAAGTGGAACGTGGGATGAAGAATAAAAATAAGATCTTTAGCTTTGTCCATCTGAGTGTTCAGGAGTTTCTGGCAGCGTTCTACGTAAGAATGAAAGTCATTAACAGAAACAAGAATGTGATGTTGGAGCCAGGGCAAACTTTTGGCGATAAGGTGCGAATGTTTTTCAACAAAACATCTATAACAGAGGTCCACAGGTTTGCTATTGACAAGGCCTTGAAGAATCCAAACGGACACCTGGACCTATTCCTCCGATTCCTCCTGGGTCTTTCACTGGAGATCAATCAGGCTCATCTAGAAGACCTACTGAAAATGAAAAGTAGCTCACAGACCAATCAGGAAACAGTCCAGTATATCAAGGAGAAGCTCAGAGAGAATCTGTCTCCAGAAAAAAGCATCAATCTGTTCCACTGTCTGAATGAACTGAATGATGGTTCTCTAGTGGAGCAGATCCAACGGTCCCTGAGATCAGGACGTCTCTCCACAGATGAACTGTCTCCTGCTCAGTGTTCAGCTCTGGTCTTCATCTTACTGACATCAGGAAAAGATCTGGACGTGTTTGACCTGACGAAATACTTTGCTTCAGAGGAGACTCTTCTGAGGCTGCTGCCAGTGGTCAAAGCCTCCAACAAAGCTCTGTAAGTACCCAGATAACTTTCTTTAACAGCTTTATCACATGAGCAGAGTAGTTCTCAACTAATGAAAGTCTTCTGTTGCCAGATTTAGTAAACAAATTGATCAGTTGATCAATTGAAAAACATGCAAATTGTTTCTTCAGTTTCATTGCAACTCCACAGATTAATGCAGTTTTGAAATAAAAAAATTGACACTTTGTTGTTGAATTAATACGAAAAGTTACGAGGGATTGGTATCCATTAATTGCGGTTAGATTCCAGTAATATACACAATAAAAGGTAAAAATCCTCTCGGCACCTGAATTGTTAAATTTATAAACTCAGAAATGTTGTATTTTACACTGTATAAGAAAAAAGAACAGTATTGTGTTTGTCTACATCACTCTCCTTCAGGCTGAGTAGCTGTAATCTGTCAGAGAGAAGCTGTGAAGCTCTGTCATCAGTCCTCAGCTCCCCGTCCTCTTGTCTGAGAGAGCTGGACCTGAGTAACAACGACCTAAAGGATTCAGGAGTCAAGCTGCTGTCTGCTGGACAGGAGAGTTCACACTGGAAACTGGAAACCCTCAGGTCAAGTTTAACAAACTTATAAATGATGAACCAGAACTTTCATATGGTGTATTGTCATTTGTCTTCACTCAGTTTACCACTTTTAATTTATGACAGTACTGCCTACCTAAATATGTGAGTTATATCAAATGTAGATAGAAATGTTTTCACACATGTGATGTATATATTTTAGGTTGAGTGGCTGTAATCTGTCAGAGAGAAGCTGTGAAGCTCTGTCATCAGTCCTCAGCTCCCAGTCCTCTAGTCTGAGAGAGCTGGACCTGAGTAACAACGACGTGCAGGATTCAGGAGTCAAGCTGCTGTCTGCTGGACTGGAGAGCCAATACTGTCAACTAGAGATTCTCAGGTCAGGATTTGTCTTCTGTTTAACTGATAACCATTTAAATGTTGCTTCATATATATGTGGCCTTAATATATTCTCGAGTTGAAGACAACTACACTCCCTATTTTCATGAAATATCAGCGAGTAAAAAGCAGATACTTTATCAATCTGTTCAACAAGCATGAACATGTAAGCCAGGAGGACAAAGGACAGAGGACAAAAGGATGGAGGACAAGAGGACAGAGGACAGGAAGAATTACTGATACTGACTGAAGTCTGTGTTCATCATTCTTCATAAAATTCACTCAGAAATTGTATTTATTGTGTGAGATATTAATTACTTTATATTGTAACTTTGTTGTTGTAAACATAACTGTTGCTGCTCTATAAACCATATTTATGAAAAAGAATATTGAACAGAGTAGCTCCTACTAGTAATAAAATCTCTACCTGAAGGCCACCGTAGTTCTCTACACACTTGTAAAGGGAGGAGTGAGCTGAGGGGATTTAGTTGGTTGCAGCCTGCAGCTCACTACTAGATGTCACTAAATCTTACACACTGTTCCTTTAAAGGTGCAACGTGACTGAAAGAGTAGATGAAAGTTAATGTAATATAATTGTGTGTCTCCAGCCTGGCAGGCTGTCTGGTCACAGAGGAAGGCTGTTCTTCTCTGGCTTCAGCTCTGAGATCCAACCCCTCCCATCATCTGAGAGAGCTGGACCTGAGCTACAATCATCCAGGGGTCTCAGGAGTGAGGCTGCTGTCTGCTGGACCGGAGGATCCACACTGGAGACTGGACACTCTCAGGTATGAAGAGACAACAAGAGCTCACAGTCTGTTGGTTCATAACAGTGAAGACAGTAGCTGATGTTTTGAGAGTCCCTGTCCCCACTGAGAAGGACCTCCTCACTAACATCAGACCAGGATCTGGTGTTGGTCATTTATTGATCATTCTTTTTGACAAATATGGTGTCAAAGTGTTTATAGAACATTTTACAAACTTCTCAAGAGGTTCAAAGTTCACAAAATAATGTCAGCTCAGGCTCCATTTAGTATCTGTTCTGGAGCTCTCTCCATTACATCCAGCCAATCTATGGATTCTTTACAATTGTTTGTTAAAACTAACGTCCATAAAATGTAAATATTGGATGAAATAAAATGTATCTTGGCACGATGTTGAAGAAAGAAATATTTGACATGATAAGGTTATTATTGTTTGTTTGTTATTATTTATTTGATTTTTGATTTTCTTAATTAAATGAAAACAGAAGAAAAAAAATAATACAATTTTGTCACATCATTGTTTCAACCACGGCCTCCCCTGCGGTGTTGCTCCCTGATGGTGCCCTGGTCGTGGTTTGCTGCCAGTGGACGGAGCGATACTGCCCCTGACTTTGTTTACGTTAAAAGCATTGTTTCGGATGTTATTATTTTGTAATTTATGTAATTTCCCCTCATTTACAAGATAAAATAAGATAATCCTTTATTAGTCCCGCAGTGGGGAAATTCACAGGATCACAGCAGCAAAGTGGACAGTGCAACAAGATACAGAGTAAAAAAACAAGAGCAACAGGTAATATAATTAAGTAATAAACTGTAAGAATATCAACTAATTCACTAACAAGGATCACGCCAATAACCGTATGAGTTTAGAGGTTTGCGTAATGAGATGATTGGAAGATTGGAAGAGGAAGGGGTCGAGGGATGAAGGGATGTAGGGTAGGGGTCGAGGGATGAAGGGATGTAGGGTACGGGTCGAGGGATGAAGGGATGTAGGGTAGGGTTAGAGGTAGAGGGATGTAGGGTAGGGGTAGGGGTAGAGGGATGTAGGGTAGGGTAGGGATAGAGGGATGAAGGGTAGGGTAGGGTAGAGGGATGAAGGGATGGAGGGATCGAGCTAGAGGGATGAGGTGGGGGACCGTTGGTGTCCGGCGGCTGGTGGGAATGGAGACTGTTGTGTGGGGGCCGTCTCTTAGTGTTAGAGCCTCTAGTGTGAGAATCTCTGGCAGTGCAGATTCCCCAAAAATAGATGCCGGTGGGCGTTTCTGATATCGTTCAGGTTGGAGCAGATGTAGGAGAGGTACGCGGTGGAAGACCAGCGACCAAGAATCTTAATGATGTGGTCTGGAATTCCTTGACTCGAGGTGGCTGAGGCGGCGCCGGAGCGGAATGAATGACCTGAGTAAAACTCGGGGGGTATTCCTGATCTGGCTAGTATATAGCGGACGTGGTGGTGGAACCAGGGCCGCGTGGACCCATTGCCCGTTTCGGTGATGAAAAGGGGATCTAGCGGAGAAGTTTGGCTGGCTGATCTCGGATGGGTTACGGACTCAGGTATGGACTCAGGTATGTGTCTAGACGGAAGAGGTAGATAGGCTGAGGCGGACCGTACTGGTTGGTCTTGCTGCATTTGAGGTGATAAATGACGGTGTCAGGAGGATGAATTGAGGTGTCGGACATGGTGACATATCGTGATGGATCATGGTCGGAGTTTGAGGCGGTGAACTCGGAGCAGCGAAGGAAGCCGAAAAAAGCCAGCAAGAACATGGACTTGAGTACTTTGTCCATGAAGGGAAAGAGGTAGCTAGAGCGGAGAGTATGGATGCAGCGGGTGAGAAGGTCCGAGGTGAGGGGCAGACGTTTAGGCATAGGTCATGGTTCGGCTTTACGGAGACCTTTGAGTAACATCGCTATATGCGAGTGGGTGGAGGCTGGGCACGGCGTTCCTGAGGATAGTTTTGTGAAAAAGTGAATGCCGCTTATGTATACCCGTATCGTGGAGATTTTAATCTTAAGGAGGGAGTGGGCAAAAGTAATGAAGTTTGTGAGGGTAAGGATGTTGAGTGATGGGAAGGGAAGGCTAAAAGAGGCGTGGAAGGATTTGAAGTGTTTCCATCCGGTGAAGTATGATGAGAGTGTTTGGGGGGGCGACGCTGTTGAGGATAGCATCTTGAGAGGCGGAGATTAGGTGTTCCAGTTGCGGGGTCAGTTGGAGATGGTGGCTGAAAACGGTGGGACCGGAGTCGGCACAGGGTCTGAGGTTGGCGCTAATCGTCTGAATTTCTGGAATGAGAAAAGGAAAAGTGAATCAGCAATGGAGTTGTAGTGACCTGGTATGTGGGAGGCTCGGATGATGAACTGGTGCTGGGCTGAAACCATGGTTAGTCTCCGCAGGAACATCATTATTTCGAGACAATGTGACCTCCTTTTATTGATGATGTCTACTACGGCACTGTTGTCCGAGTAGACGGCAATGGTCTTTTTTTTTACCATTCACGCCCCCAAAGAATGGCTGCTATGACTATTGGATACATTTCGGAGATTGCGGAGGAAGGAGAAAGGGATGAAAATTCAGGCGGCCATGCGGCTGAGAACCACTTGTCGCCATGGAGACCGCCAAAACCGATGGAGGGTGCTGCGTCTGTGTACAGCTGGATGTCTTCCGGCTTGGTGACATGTTCGTCGTAGAAGAAGGAAATGCCGTTCCAAGAGGAGAGGAACTGGTGCCATAGCTTTAGCTCTGTCTTGCATGCTTTGTCAAGTGTGACGTAGTTGTGGAGCTTTGTGACAGAGGAGGTGACTGAAAGGAGGTGTGACAAGAAGGATCGGCCTTGGGGGATAATGCGGATGGCGTAGTTGAGGTGGCCTAAAAGCGAGAGGAGTTGGTGTTTGGTGCATTTGGGGGCCAGGAGGAAATTAGAGATTAGTAATGAAATCCGGTTGATTTTCTCGGTAGGTAGGGATGCTTGGAGTGAGACGGAGTCGAGGGTGATGCCGAGGAATTCCAGGGATGTACTGGGAGCTGTTGTTTTCTCTGCTGAGAGGGGAACACCGAGTTCCTGAAACACGGCGGTTAGTGTGGAGGCCGAGTGCTGGGGGAGAGGAAGGTGGCGTGACAGTGAGGAAGTCGACTAGGAGGTGGATGACTGTTTTTTTTGTCGACTGTCGGGTTCAGAGATGGCCGATTGCAAATTTTTACAAGTGAAGAAAGATTCTGGCTTCACCTGCAGGCCTGGGTGGAAGCCGTGGGTAAGACCCTGGATAAGGAAGCTTGTGAACTGGGTGAGTTTTAAGGGCGGAAGCTAGGGCGTGGATGTTTATTGGTGTGTTGAGATACTTACACTTGCTGTGCCTTGTTGGTTTATGGGGAGAGGTTGGTCTTGCATGCCCCCCGCAGAAGGAGCAGGTGTGGAGAAAACGGCAGCTGGAGGATTGGCATCCTAGGTCGTTGAAATTGTTGCAGACCATCCTCCCGCCCTGGAAGAGGATTGGTCTACCTCTTTTGTCCATACCTCTGGGGGGACCACCGGAGGTGGTTGGCTGGTTGATCTCTGGTTTAGGGGTGATGGATGATGGGGGGAGTAATGGAGGCAGGCTTCGGTAAACGGGGGGGCTTCATTTACGGGAAGCTGAGGTGGAGGGCAGGGGTGCTGTGAGGGTGCATGTGGTGGCCGGATGGGAGGGTGCGCCGCAGTGCTCGCAATTGAGAGAGGCATGAGCTGTGAAAACTCTGCAGTACAGTTCTGGGTCGAGTGTTCCCCAGTATGTTCCCTGGTTGAACTGCTGAACGCGACCAGCGGCTTCGGAAGAGAATAGGATGTGGTAGTTGTAGAACCCTTTACCTCCGAACCGCAAGGCTAGGTTGAGTATAAGTGCCAAGTAGTCATCCAACTCGGCCCTGCGGTCGGGGGAGACGGAGCAGATGATGTCGCGGTATAGGGAGAAAGAGTAGGCAAATTCGGTCGTGGTGAGTTCCTTGGATCGGGTGGGGAGTGGCTGTGAGAGTCCGATGGGTCCGAAAGCGGTGATTAATTCCCTCGGGATATGGGGATTGCAGGTGGATGGATGAATGAGTTGGGCAAGGTCGATGTAGTTACCTGCGAGAATCTGTTGCCTGAGCGTGTGTGGCACGGGGGATGGTCGGGCGGATGCTAAAGGCCGTACTGGGGGTAGTGCTGTGGCTAATGTAAAGCTGGTGGGTGGAGGAAGATGGAGTCGGAAGGAAGCTGGGGTTGGTAGCTGGTGGACCTGTGAAAAAAGGGGGTGCATTTAAAGGGTTACATATGGGTTATGGGGAGGGTAGGGACAGAGAGAGGGGAAAGCAGAGACGGGAGGAAATGCAAAGTTTTGGCTGTTGGCTCCTCCGTAGAATCCTGCTGTTGGAGCATTCTGTGCAGCTAAGGTAGCCGGTGTCAAGTTGGAAGGAAAGGCAGGAGCGAGGGAAGAGGAAGAGATGCTGGGATGAAAGGAAGCATGTGCGTGGGTTGGAAGTGCAGAAAGGGGAAAAGAGACTGCGGGGTGAGATAACCCTGGTGCAGAGAGAGCGGGGGGGGGTGCAATACGACCTGGCCCTCTGGAGGGGCTAGTGTGGATGACTGGCCTTGTCTGTCCGCGTTGTGCGTCATGACGTCATCGACGTCGCGCCTGACGCTGCGCGGGAAACCCGGAAATGCTCTGGTGGCTCGGCGATCGCGGGAGGTGTCTTGCTGAGCGTCCGTGAGTAGTTTGAGAAGTGTAGATTTCCTGTCGGACTGGTGGAAATGGATATTGAGTTGGGTGAGTGCGTGCTTCAGGCAAGCGACTGTCCACTCGGAAAAGCGGAATGTATGGGGGCCATCGGAGTGTTGGCGTGGAGGAGGAGGAGGGTCGCTCTGGTATTGGCCGTCGTTCGAGCGGCTGGATCTCGAGCTGGTGGAAGAGCAGCGTTGTGGAGTGACAATGTCCCTCAGACGCCGGAATCGGGATCTCCCCCTGGGGTCGTTGGACGGCGAAGGACCGACGACATCGGAATGGTCCGAGAATAGATGTCGGGAGCCATGTGGGTCGTAGATGGTTGATCTCGGCCGAGTTTGCTGGCGGCGAGAGATAATAGGAGACGGTGCCGTCTCCGGGATTCCTGGTGAATCGTCTTCGAACAGGTCGTTGTCAGAAGGAGTGAGGGAGATCTCCAGGTTCATGTTGTGAAGTGTGTGGTATTCGGCTCGGGAATCGTACGTCATGAGAGAACGGAGTCGAAGAGGAAGTCAACGGGTTCGTTTGAGCTTAAATACTTGTGCAGGGGAAATGAGCCGTGTTCTGGGCGTGGTCCCGTTCCTGAACTAAGTTTATAAAACTACATGTAAAAAAGTACAAAAAGTACAAAATAAACAGTAACTAAGTATAACTAAAGAACTAAAATTTGTACTTTCTTATGGATTTTTCCTTCATCTCAAAAGGCGCAGGCACAAACACACACGGTTCTCCCATACACTAACTATATGTTTGCTGGCTTGTATCTCACTGTTCTTGTCGTCCTCTTGTTTTGTCTATGTATTGTCTCTTGTCTTGCAATAAATTAAAATTAAAATTAAAAAAAGGTTATTATTGTTGTAAGTGTGCGATGGTCCAGCGGTCCTTCATGCAGAATAGGGAGGAGTTCTACAGTTTGATGGCCACAGGTAGAAAAGACTTCCTATGGCGTTCTGCGGTTCTCCTCGGTGGTCTCGGTCTTCGGCCGAAGGGGCTCTGAAGTGACTTCAGTGGGACGTTCGGGGGCTGAGAGGCATCGTCCAGAACACCGAGTAGATTCCTCAGCATCCTCCTCTCTGAAACCTCCACCACAGAAGCAGCTCTCCTGATGAGCTGATTGAGTCTCTTAGCATCAGCTGCCTTCACCCTGCTGCTCCAGCACACTACAGAGGAGAAGATGACGCTGCTCAAGCTGATTTGAGCCCCTAAAGCTGATGCTGGGTCTGATCTTATGGGACACAAGCTGTTGCTCATTGTAAAGCTGAATCCAAGATACAAACCTCTCTGTTCAACACGGACTTGAACAGCTTTTGGTCTCCGCTTTAAATGAGATTTAATCCATTTTTACAGCTTGTGTATAAAATGTGTTTAATAACTGCAGCTGTTTGTCTGAATGGAGGATCTGAGTGAAGGTTGATGAAGATCAGTGATGATGATGAAGCTTCATTCTGACTGTTTCTTCCTCCAGGGTTGAACCTGCTGGAGATCAGTGGCTGAAACCTGGTCTGAGGAAGTGTGAGTGTTCACTTTGATTCATGAAGTCTCAAATAAACCCATCAGCTGTGTTTGATGATGAACTGATGCTGTTTCATGTCTCCTTCTCTCCTTCAGATGCCTGTGAACTCACAATCGACACAAACACAGTGAACAGAAAGATCAAACTGTCTGACAACAACAGGAAGGTGACACGTGTGGTGGAGGAGGATCAGTCATATCCTGATCATCCAGACAGGTTTGACTCCTGGCCTCAGCTGCTGTGTAGAACTGGTCTGACTGGTCGCTGTTACTGGGAGGTCGAGTGGAGAGGAATAGTTTATATATCAGTGAGTTACAGAGGAATCAGAAGGAAAGGAGACAGTGATGACTGTAGGTTTGGAAAGAACGATCAGTCCTGGAGTCTGAGGTGCTTATATGGTCGTTACTCTGTCTGCCACAATGACAGTACAACACAACTCCCCTCCTCCTCCTCCTCCTCCTCCTCCTCCTCCTCTGGTAGAGTAGCAGTGTATGTGGACTATCCTGCTGGCTCTCTGTCCTTCTACAGAGTCTCCTCTGACACACTGATCCACCTCCACACCTTCTACACCACATTCACTGAACCTCTTTATCCTGGCTTTGGGGTCTGGGCCTACTCTGGTTCAGTGTCTCTGTGTTCTGTGGAGGGAGAGTCTCCTCCTCTGTAAAAACTCACTCTGCTGACGATCAGATTCAGATCAATAGAACAAAATATAATCAACAAATAAATCACTTTTATATATTATTATGGAGAAAACAATGAACCTTTATTGATCCCTCGGTGAAACTCAGAAATGAATACTTTAGTACTTTTACTTTCATTGTGAATGCAGGACTTTCAGGTTTCACTACTTTAACTTAAAGATCCATTGAAGACTTTTGGATGAATGAACATAATATTAATTAAGTATATTTTCATCATCACCTGAAGATAAGAATCGTGTTTCGTTCCCTTAGAATGAGCAGAAGTGATGATTGTGTAATTGATGAAAACACTAGAAATCTTTGTGTTTGATGAGCTTCAGGTTGGGCTCTGATGTTTCCGTTTTCATCACTTTGTTCACTC